TAGGCTGTTAAACTTAACCTCACTATCTGTCTGAATATCAAACATCTTAGGCATAACATGGAACAGATATTTTTCATCAAGTATTGATATGTTGAACTTTTAGTCTCTACAGAATATGATGAAAAACATTAAAAAATTAAAATACATTTTGAAAATAGGCATAAAGAATTATATAATTCTTATGTTTACACATAAGTCCCGAAATGTAACCATATGCAACCTTCAAGTAGGACAGTCCTGCAACATTCCTTTTCCTGTCTCCTGCCTTCATTCACCACCCCCTTCTATGCTTTAGGTTTAAATACTTTAACTCACAACTACTATAGAGACCAAACACTTATAATTGTGAAATTCTGAGCATCTGATAACTATCTTAAGATCATTGATGTTTACTTGATGAAATGACATAAGTTGAAATGACCCTAAAATAACACTCAATGCTTACCTTGCCACCAGTCATCAGAAGGCAACAGATACATAAGTTAGTCTCCCTGTGTTTCTTAGTTCACTAAGTAATTTAAATACAATTGCTAATATTAAATTGAGTGGAATATTTAAATGTAGTCCACAGTTTTTATATGTTAATACTATAAAATTTTGGTACTAAATAACAAAAGTTATGTTTTCTGTTGACTAAACCTTAAATTAATGTAATTCAGAAAGCCTTTTATACTGTTGTTTGTTTACCAAGACAGGTATTGTAAATACTATTTGAATCACTAGTAAAAACTAAATACCCTTGATAAAATTGAACTTTATATGAACAGCTGTTTATAAACATGAATCGTCTTTTTCTTCCCATTCTTACACATTAATTTACTAAGTAGAATTTAAAAGTGGTGGTAAAGTCCACTTAAACACATTAATTTTCAGAAAGCTATAAATTGTTGAATATGATGGCTATCACATGCCTCTAATCCCAGCATTCTGGGAGGCTGAGGTGGCAGGATCTCAAGTTCAAGCCTAGCCTGGTCAACTTGGTGATTTAGTGAGACTATGTCTCAAAAATAGAAAAATTAAAAAAGGACTGGAAGTGTAGCTTAATGTAAGGGTCCTGACCTTAATCTCCAGTATGAACTGTAAAAACCAAGCCAAACAAAAAGCTACAAATTGCTTGTTTCCAGCGTGAGAAACTGAGCCTATTGGGAGGCATCATCCTTATAGTCCTGTTGTCTTTTTCTTCTTGACACAATGGAATATCCATTGTGACCTTGTGTAACTTGACATGTAACCCTGGTAACTAATTATTATGCCTCCTGCCTATGTACTCAGATCTTTAAAAGCAGAAGTGAAATACCAAAACAGTATTCTTTTCTCCTCTTTTCTCACTTTTTCCCCCTGCTCAGGCATTCATTTATGAAATTCATTTGCATATCTACTCAGTAACATTTCTTGGTTACAAAGTGTGTGCCAGGTATTATAAAATTGAATAAAGGATGGGTCTCACCTTGATGGTTCTTAAAATTTAGTTTTATAACATGATACTCTGTTCTGATATGTGAATCAAAATTATTTCTTTCCTTAGGCTTGGCTTCTATATTTAAAAAGAAATGAGACTTAGATTCCCTTGTGAGGGGAGTATTCCTTTCTAGGATGATTTAAAATTACAAGCATATGGAATGCCTTCGATTCTTTTCTTTTCTTTTTTTTTTTTTCCTTAGATTCTTTTGAAGGTGGTTAGGAATATATATGAGGGGTGTTCTAAGGAATCCTTTATTATGCCTATTAGGAAGGAATTAAGTTGGTCAGAAGTATTTATCGAGAGAATTTCACAGTGTTTATAGTGGAAAGTGGGGTTTAATATTCCATAAAAGCCAATATCTATGTTTATATTTCTTTGACTTTTTTACCCCCTGAAAGATTTCAGTGATGTAATAAAACAGTGATGTGACACATGTATAAGTTCCCACCATTTAGTTGCATTATGAGGAAGAAGGGACAAAGATGGTAATTTTCACAGCAGTTTGTAAGCTGTATTCAATTATTTTGTCTATGTTCTTATAGTACTTTCAATTATTTTATTGCACTTAGAAAGATTTTTAAGAGTTTAATAGTGTACTGTGTATATAGTAGGACTACAAAAGGAAAGTAGCTTCAAAAATCTGAATATTTGTCTGATGTCAGTGGTTCTTGGTCAGAAAATTTAGTGCTAATTGAAAAGTAGTAATTTGAGTTTTAGCAGCTCCATAGATATGTAAATATCACAGTTTGTCATAAATTATGTAATTCAGTGGCTTTTAGTTTATGAATTCGGCAGTCATTGTCATTATCATTGTCCCCAGATGCAATTTAGTTTTGAATTCTGTATAAGGACATTCTGGAAAATTTGGTTTTCAATAATTAACATCCGTTTACAGAGTTTCTGTTTTGGATGCTGAAAAATTCTGCAAGTGTTGTAGAATTTAAGAGACAGGAGAGATCAAATGGAAAGCAGGAGGATTTTGTTTTAGTTTTAGATGTACACCAGCTCGGCTGGGAAATCTAAAATGGCTAAGTAAAGGACAACAGACAGGCTCCAGCTTTTATACTTTTGGTCGGGGGATTAGACTTTGGCATGGAACTTGTGGGCATGCAGGAGACAAAGGCAGTTAGTCCAGCTGTGACAGTTGTGTATCTTGGTGGCCCAGCTCAAGCATAATGAGATGTTATGGGAATAGGAGTTTAAAAGATTTCACTTGCAGGGACAAAAGTTATTGCTTCAGAGTAGATAGTGAGGGGGCCAGGGAGATAACTCAGTAGAATAAGCACAAGGGCCTGAATTCAATCCCCAGTTCCACCAAAACCAAAACCAAAACAAACAAAAAATTCCTCTTTTAGGGCTGGCCAAATAGCTCAGCAGGTTTAAGTGCCAGCAAGCAAGAGCAGGGGCTAGGGGTTCGATCCCCAGGCCTGCCATGCTGGCCCTGCCCCTGGGGCATGCTGAGAAGGCAATTGAGACTGGGCATGGTGGTGTGCACCTGTAATCCAGCTCTTGGGAGGCTGTAAAACAGGTGGATCACTATAAGTCGGATCTACTAGTAAGACCCTGAACACCCTGTAGAACCTTCCCTAAAATTTAAAAAAAAAAAGTATATAGTGAATTTATAGCATGAATATATATACTTAATACCAGTGAGTTATATGCTTAAAATATGGCTAAACTGGTAAATTTAATATTAGGTGTATTTGCCACAGTAAAAAATTTCACATCCATTTATGTGAAGTCAGAATTCATGGCTTAAAATTCATTTGAAATTCTTCCTAAGCAACACATGGGCCTAATAATTTTTTCTCAGAAACATAGTATAGCAAGATACTCTTTGCTAAAAATCATATTAATCTTTGCAGACTGAAAAGCACACATTCAAATTTTATAGGTATTTTTTATAAAAATTAAAAAGGAAAATCATCAAAAATGAAAGTAATTAGTTATGCTTTAATTATGCTGCATTTGAAAAAAACAAGATGCTAAACAATAAAGGATTATGTAAACAGATAAAACGGAAATACAACACGTATAAATGGATGAATTGTAAATATTTATGGTTGAACAGAAAACTCCCTGGACAGAGAAGCAGCACAGTAGCGCCGACTGTTGTGGGCAGAAAAGCAGGGTGACCAGAATTCAGAGACAGAAATGGTATTGCTGACAGTCAGCACGTTTGAATTAAAAATTTTCCTGATCTTAGTTTAGTATCAACGTAACTGTTTATCCTTACAATACTTTTTTTTTAGTAAGAGAGAGAATGTTTTTTAAATTGTTTTGAAAATGAACACTCTTACTTGAGGTTGTCTTCTTTCTAGGAATTGATTATGGATTAAGTTTACCTCTTGGGGAAGACTATGAACGGAAGAAACATAAATTAAAAGAAGAATTACGGCAAGATTATAGACGGTATCTTACTCAGGTAATGGGCTCTATTAATGAATTGGGTCTTAGGCTTCAGAGTTCATCTCCGAAATCTGCTTCTTTAAAGTATTAGTCATATGTATTTAGCTCTCTGTGATATCAGCAAAGTAATAAAGTTAAATGATGTATGTGACATTCATAGAGAAAAAATGGTGTTCACAGTGATGCCATAGAATATGTCCTTTTTGCGGCAGTCTAGCCTTGTGTACAGAGTGTGCTCAGCATGTGGGAGACGCTGGATTCCATTTCCAACAGTGGGGAAAAGAAAAACAGTGGTAACTGACAGACTCTAGACCTTTGGAGTGGGGAAGTGGGTTCTAATGTAAATAAGATTAATTGTGGTTATTCATGTTTTCCGTAGTTATCAATGGTTTAGTTATGATTTCTCAATCTTCCACTTCCTAAGCCACATATTAAAATGTTTATGAACTAGTGACATTTTAGATTTATGATTGTTTTATTTAACAGAACTCTTTAGAGGTATTTTAAAAATTGTGTAATAGCCAAACTAAATGTGTATTGTAAGTTTTAAAATGCAATATTCTTTGTAGTTTATACAAAAATTTTAAACAATCATGATATCTCTAGTCATACTAAGGTAGTTTTTAGTTTTTTCCTTGTTTTATACTTTTGTTAAAATGCACAAATGGTCTCTTATTTATTGTGATTTGCACCAGAGATAATGGGCTTTAACTGAATACATTTTATCTGTACTTTATTTCTCTTGGTTTTAGGGCATTACACAAGCAAAGAGAAAGGTAGGGTTGCCTGCAAAATGTTCTCCTTTAGTTTAAAAGATCTAGTAGCTTGCAGTCATTTACATTTCTATGATTGAAGCTAAATCATAGCTTTACTTGTGATTTTAAGATTTTTGAGTGGTGTCCTTTTGAATCCTTGGTTTTACCAAATTGACAGTGTACATTATAATATCCTTAATAAAATCATTACTTTAGATTTTTACTTTGCTTTTGTATTTGTTGCTTTCATGTGCATTTTTATAAATGTTTTGCAGCTGTTGTAAGTCTGTTTGTTTTAGCATGCTAGTTTTTGTTTTTCAAATCTTTTCTTCTTTTTTCTTTTTCTTTTTTTTTTTTTTTTTTTTTCTGGTAAGAGAATTGAACTCAGGACCTTGCGCTGAGCAGGCAGGAACTGTGCTGCTAAACTATATACCTCCCACATCTCTTAATCATGATAAGATTAATAGGCTAATAGAATAGTCGAAATAAGGGGCCGGGGAGATGGCTCAGTAAAATAAGTGCTTGTTTGGCAAGCACAAGGGCCTGAGTTCAATCCCTGGTTCCTCAAAAAAA